CTGGATGTGGGAAATGGGTGGAGGAAGACACTCCGGTCAGAGAGCACGATGGGAACAGAAGGCACAGGCAGGAAAATGCTAGGCTCATTCAAGAAAAAGAGTCGGTCAGTTTGAAGTACAGGACTGCTGGGCGTCATGTTCTCATTCTATGCATTTTTTGTTTGTTTTGGGTACTTCTGAAGGGGAGAGGATTAATGAGATCATTTTTTCACTGGTGAAATTAATGTAACATAAAATTAACCATTTTTAAATGAGTAATTCAGAGTAACGCACTTAGCACATTCCCAGTGTTCTACCTCCATCCAGTTTCAAAACATTTTTATCACTTCAAAATAAAACCTCTTACTCATTAAGCAGTAACTTTCCTTTTCTTCTCCCCACAGCCCCAGTCAACACCAATCTACTTTGTGGATTTGCCTATTCTAGATATTTTGTACAAATGGACTCAATACGTAACCTTGTGCATCTGGCTTCTTTTGCTTATCATAATGTTCTCGGGGCTCATCCAACTTGTAGCAGGTACTAGTGGTTCATTTCCTCTTTATGGCTGTGTAATATTCTACTGCAAGTATATACCATAGCATGTCTATCCAGGCTTCCATTAGTAGACACTTGGGTTGTTTCCACCCGAGGCTGTTGTTAATGGTGCTGCTGTGAACATGTCTGCAAATGCATTTGTTTGAGTATCTGTTACCAGTTCTTCTGGGTATATGCCTCTTAGAAGTAGACAGCAGATTCAGTCTACGTATCTGAAGTAAATGCTCAACTTCACAGTCTGCAGGAGTCTGATGAAATTATCTGTACAGTACATTTAGAAAGAAGCCCAGACAAAATCCCAAACTGAACTCTGCTTCAGGCAGAGACGGCCTGACCAGAGCAGCAACCTGACAGCTCGTCCCCTGCCACTGTCTAAGCTGACATTCCCACTGCTCCCTTCACACTACTCAAACTGGCCCCGGCTTCCCACTCTTCACCCTCAGGGCCTCCATCTGTGAAGAGAACCGTGAACTGGCCGTGCTTTACAGCATCTGATGTGCACACTGTGGGCCGCTGCTTGGAGGACATGATCACAAGCTCCCAAGACGGCCATGAAAGCACAGAGGGGTCCTCACTTGTGCTACGTTGACACATTCCGAGGAGCAACCTCCACGTCACTCCTTTTTGTATGGCACACTAAATGTGTCTGAAAACAGCCTCAGGTGCGCTCACTTTACAGCCGCAGCCTAGGGGAGAAGGTCCTAAGAATACAGGTAGAGATTTTGTACAGAAAGGTTATTATATGGCTAAAGCATATGGCTTAAATCTGTTTTCTTCAGATGTAAGGATTTTATTTGTTGACTTTTTTTTAATGGCTGGAAGGTAAATATAACAAAGCCCTGGTTGCCAGTAGCATAAAAGCAAACTTTCGAATGTTTACATTCGAAACATAAACATTTATTAGTATTTAATACGCCAAGCCCTTGGTTAGATATCAGGGAAGAAATATGTATTCAGTGCCTCTTCTCCAAGAGCGGGCAGCCTAGCGAAGCTGTGAAAACAGCTGCGGAGTGTATCAAGACGAATTACACGAACTGTCATCTTCCCACTCATCCTTCACTGACTCATGCACTTGACAGAATCAGTTCAGTACCTACTGTGTGTCAAAGGGGAAACAAAATCAGGTGGAAAAGGTAAGTTTTATCTCTACTACATCTAAGAAAGTACAGATAAGTAATAAAACTTCTTCAGAGAAAATTTAAGGCCAAAAATGAGATGTGACTGTATAAACATAACATATGGGAAATGTCTGGAAGGGAGATCACTTTGGCAGTTTTACTATATATTCCAAACATGAACAAAACTTAATGCTCACAGATTTCTAGCCAGATGGATTTTCATACTGACAATGAAAGCCGAAGTATTTAATCAACTCAAAACTGGATACAAGTAAATCAGAACAGACACTTCCACAACTATCCTCAATCCTTAGATTTTATGGAGAAAACACTCATTCAAAGAAAGCATATTATGAAAACGAATAAAGTAGCACATTGCATGAAGAAAGGCCCAGATAAGCTGAATTCCCAATTTGGTAAAAGACTTCAGAGGCTGTATCAGGCACCAGGAACATGAGTTTCTTCTCGGGCAACGTTTAAGCTAAAATTACAGGCGGACTATGTGATATATATTCTCATGTGCTCTATTTTAAACTAATCGGCCACCCATTGACTTCCCAGAGCAACCACAGACGTCAGTGTATCAAAGAGTGTTCTCTGAAAACACCGAAGCCTCACAGACATTTGTTTATGATGGAACGAACTTTCAGAACGTACAGTAGGAAGGGCTGACAAGAGTAGGGAGCAGGAGAGGAGGGTTCAGGGAGCAAGTGTGACGCAGCATAACGATCAGACTAGAAAGCAGGGAAATGAAGGAGTTTGCATTTTGACCATAATTTTAGAATTTAAAAAAAAAAGAATGGATAAAATTAAATGCCCGCCATGCCTTCAACTTTGGACAAAAATTTCTTTTGAGGCTAAAACTGGCAGGGGTCTTAGAGGGCAGGGTCCGCCCTGCTCAGCTGGAGTCCTTCCAGGAGCTGAGCAGCAGCAAGAAGAGGGAGGGGCCGGCAGCCATCAGCCTGTGACAGGACGACTCTGGAGGGAGGGTGTGCCAGCAGCAGTGGGAAAGGCAATAAAACAGGGTTAGGTTCAGTCATCCTCGCGAAGCCACTGTTCCCTCAGCAAAGGATTCCACTACCTGCAAGATGTCCTTGGTGACGGCAACCAGGTCCACTGTTTCCAACATCCTGGTTTTTCCAGTTTACTCAGACGTTCAAGGGAAAGAATTTATACCAGCCAAATCAGAAGAAATTGATACATAACCCTCAAAATGTGTAAAAGTGTAATAAAAGATACAACTGGCTTGAGAATTGTAGCATTATATGGTCTACTACTGTCTGTAGACTGTTTTGGGGCACTGAATCAGAGGAGGTGAGGTGGAAACTCCTGGAGGTTCAACAGTATATCAGGCTTCAGCAATTCCTGATGAACTGCTCCTCTACCCTGAGTCTTTCTGTCCAAACAACTCTCCCCAGAACAAAACCAGAGACAAATTTCTGGCCTGACCTCCTTCCACCACGCATCTCTGCTGCCATTTTTGAATTCCCTTCCTTTCTTGCCACGTTACTTTTCTGATGGCCTATTCCAGACTACATCTGGATATTTACATCTATTCACTCTTGAGTTTCAAGATTTTTAAACAATTTTTGTGTTTTTAATAGAATCATCATAAACGTCTAGTGAACAACATTAATGAGCTAAAGAGTAATGAGTTGTAATCACATTGACTGGCAACTAACAACAAAAATGACTGATTAGTTAAAAATTCAAATGTCGTCAGTGTGGACTACAACAGATACAATTTATCTCTGCATGGAAAAAATAGGGCATCCATAATTTCAGGAAACAAAAGAGCACACTAATCAATTTTTCTTGAATAGCTGTTATGCTATAGGTATGACATTCTAGGGTACTCACAAGGTGAAATATAAAGTGTGCTTCAGAACTTGATCAATATTTCTATCAGGTGAATAAAAATAAATTAGGGAAACAGAAAGTCAGGGGGAAATGCCTTTAACAATCAAAGTGGTCACTTTTAAGAAAAAACTTGCCCAAATGTAAATTCCCCACATATAACAGAACATCAGGATCTTCCCAAATAACA